GTTGTTAGCTGCCATCTGGGTGCTGGGAATCGAACTCAGGTCCTCTGTAAGGGTAGTCAGTGCTCTTAACTGCTGAGCTATCTATCTCTCCAGCCCCCAGATTTATTTTTTTAATTTGATTTATGATTTTTATTTTGTGTATGAGTGTATTGCATGCATGCATGCATGTGTGCAGTGTCCACGGAGGTCAGAGGAGGGCATTGAACCCCCTGGAACTGGAGTTACTACAGCTGTTAGCCACCGTGTGGGTGCTGGGTATTGAACCCAGGTCCTCTCTGCAAGAGCAGCTAGTGCTTTTAACCACTAAGCCATGTCTCCAGCCCTGTAAGACTTATTTTTAATGTTTTCTGTGTATATATATGTTTGTGTGTGTGTGTGTGTGTGCAGGTGCCCCAGCAGGCCAGAGGTGTCAGATCCCTCTGGAGCCGGAGTTACATGCGTTTATGAGCTACCATGTGCTGGGAACCAAGCTCTTAACCCCGAGCTGTCTTTCCCATACCCCCATCGTTTTGTTTTGTTTTTTTTGAGGACAAGGTTTGGTGTCTGTTCTGGAAGTGAAAGCATTTGTGTTGGGCAAGGCTAGGTGTAGTAGCTTGCATCTGTAATCCCAGCACTCAGGAAATTGGGGCAGGGGATTACCCCAAGTTCAAGGCCAGCCTAGATCTACCTAGTGAGCTCCAGACCAGTAGGGGCTATAGGGAGACCCTGTCTCAAAACACTGGGGACAAAAAATAGATATAAAGCCAGGTGTGGTGGCACACACCTGTAATCCCGGCACTTGCGGTGCTGAGGCTTAGAGTTAGAGACCAGGCAGGGCTGCATGGGTGTTGGATGCAGGGAGTGCTCCCTAAGCACCAGAAGAAAGCATGGAGTGGGTTAAATTCCTTAAAGCATAGGCCTTCCCAAGTTTTTGTTCATGTGTTCCCATAACATAACCTTGGAGGAACTATGGGCACATTTAAGATTGTGAACACATCTAAACCTTTCTGACTTCATTTTAAATAGCTGTAAAAGATGTCATTCCTGGTACATTGCAGGCTTTATAAAGTAACTGTTGTTGTTCTTTTTAAAAGTATCCAGTGTCAGACAGACCAGTGATTTCAAACCCACCATCACTGCCCCTTTAGAAAATAAAGACAGATTGTTCTTCACGGCATGAGTTACGTTTTCTCTTTCCAGGAACCTGTGCACATACATGCTCCATTTTCCCTGTGGAATTTTATTGTAATGTAATATGCTTTTATATGTGAAAGTTTTTATTGGTCACTTTTTGTGCTTTTCCATGACAGAAGTATATGAAAATTGCAATTATAGTACATTTCTATAAAAATGTGTCAACTCAATCCAGAAAACTGATTTTGTCTTTGTAATTATTATTGGTACAGAGTTGATCACAGAACCTTAAAATGTGTCATTGGTTTGGTGAGTAGTTACTGAACAAACAAAATAAAAATGCTTTGGAAGAACTGGAAGGGGGGACTCAGCCCAGCCGAGTCCCAGTGCTGTCCCTGTAAGGTGCCTGCCCCGGGGAAAGGAGGCACTGAACTGTCCCTGGGACTGTGTGGACTGTGTGGAACATTCTGTGGGAACAGAGCCTTCCCTTTTTCTTTCTTTTTAAATATTTTGTTATTTTTATTTGATGTTTATGAGTGTATTGCCTGCATGTATGTAAGTGCACTCATGTCGTGCAGTGCCCACAAAGGTCAGAAGAGGGTGTTGGATCCCCTGGAACCGGAGTTAGACGGTTGTTAGCCGCCACATAGGTGCTGAGAACTGAACCCGGGTCTTCTGCAAGAGCTTCCAGTGCTCTTCACTGCTGAGCCAGTTCTCCGGCTCCTCTTTTCTTTCTTTTTTAGGTCTTTTTGAGACAGGGTCTCCCTGTAGCCCCAGCTGTCCTGGAACTCACTATGTAGACAAGGCTGGCCTTGAACTCACAGAGATCTGCCCGCCTCTGTCTCCCAAGTGCTGGGATTAAAGGCTTGCACCACCACGCCCGGCCTCTTCTTTCTTTTAAGACAAGGTATTACACTAGTTCAGGCTGGCCTGGAGCTCACTGTGTAGCCCAGGCTAGCCTCAAAATTTGAGCAATCCCCCTGCCTCAGCCTCCCAAGTGCTGGAATTACTAGCATGAGCCACCACACCCAGCTGGCAGCCTTCTTTTTGGCTAGACAGAGTGCCAGGGAGAGGGAAGGTAGCCTTCCAGGGCATGTCCTGCCAGGGACTTCCACCCCGAGGACTTAACCACTGCACCAGGGGAGCCTGGGGGTGTTCTTGTGGGGATGATGCCCCCTGCTTTCACACACTGCTTTTGTGGGTACACAGTACTGCTGTGCATATTCGGAGGACAAAGCCCTTGCTTTAGTAGGTCTGACATGGAGATGTTCCATCCTATACTTCAGTGTTATATTGTACGCTTTGTAAATGCTCAGTGTTAAATGGCGAAAGATGGTAGATTTCATGGACATTTGTGGTTCAGCTATGGGCAGTGCATTTTTATTTGGTTGGGTTAACATATAAGCCTGTGGAATTGTGCCTTGAGTTAAATTTTAATTTACCAGATAGAAGCATCAGAAGTAGGAATGCCGAGGTGGCTGGGCCTAGGGCTCCAGAGACACTCGCCTGGCAGGAATCCAGGCCTCCTGTGTGGTGTTCTTCCTTCCTAAGCCGGTGCACTCAGCCTGGGGTTGCCTGCTGGTGTCTGGGGCTGGGGGCGGGCAGGGGGTGACGAAGCAGAGTGCCTGGACTAGGGAGCTGATGTGTTGGACAGTTGGGCCTCTTCCTAAGAACCCTGGATGGGGCTGGTATGAGGAGCTTCAGCAGTGGCTCCAGAGCTTGCTCAGATCTGGAAATGCTTGCTAGGACGTTAACACGCACTTGTTTTGCTTAAAAGCCAGTTGAGACATTCAGTAATTAAACAACAGATTGCTCTAACTTCATACTCAGAACAGAGCATGCAGTGGTTGGAGCAATGAAACCAGGCATTGTACGAGTTTCATGACCTGAGGGGTCCTGTGTGCTCAGCAGTGGCAGGGAGACGCTGCTCTGCAGACCATAGCCTGGCCTGGCCTGTGCCTGCCTCCGGCCGCCCTGCTGGTAAGTAAGCACACGTCGGGGATGAGGGTGGAGGCTCATACCTGTAATCCTGGCTTTGGGAGCACCAGGTGAAGGATCGCCCTTGAGTTTGAGGTCAGCCTGGATTACAGACAATGACTCCAAACAACCCAAACGGAAACAAGACTGAAGAAGTACACTGGAGAGAGCTTGAGTGGGCCCTTGGGGAGAGGACCCTGTCCCTTTTGTTCTTGAGGATAAGACAGGAGCCAGTGAGCAAGTTGGGAGCCCAGACTGTCCTGGGAATCTTGTAGTATATCTGATGTCGGAGAATGAGCCTGGGAGGGAGAGGGATGGGGTGTAACCTGGAAGATGGAGCCTTAGTGGCTTGTCCAGCACAGCAGCTTCTGAGTTCCCTTGGTGTTTCGGGCATTGGGATGGATAGAGGGCAGAGTCTCCTGCTCCTGGTAGTGGTGTGCTCTGAAGAACAGGCACGGGGGCAGGTAGAGCTTCACTTGCCTAGAAATCCCTGTACTGCCTGGGCTCCCTCTAGCATGCAGATCTCCCAGCAGGGCAAGCTACAGCAGTCCTGGGCTCATACCGTTTATGTAACGCTGTTTGTATCAAAAGCTTGGAGTAGGGAAGCCCTCCCCTGTAACCCTGCACCTCTGTGCACTGCTCCCCTCTGCTGGATGGAGTCAGGTCAGGGCTGGGCTGCTCTGCAATGGCTCCAAGCATTTGCAGGCAGTTCTGACTTGGTGGAGACTATGGAAGGAGAGGTCAGGTTGTCCTGTGTCCAGCTTATATAAGCCTGTGTACCTGGACTTGGCCCAGGATGGGGGAAACATGGAGGGAGGACAGGCTTGTCCCTAGGTAAAGTTGAGGGAGGTGCAGGGCCATTGAGAGCATTTCCAGCTCTGTTGGGAGCTAGATAGAGCTCAGGTGATCGTAATTCCAATTCCAGGGAAGGAAGGTGGGGCCTGGCCTGTGCTGTTTCCTCTGGGAGCTCGGCAGAGCCCGGCCTCCTCCTGGGAAGAGTGCGGGACCCTGGCTGGCCATCCTTGGCTTTGTGACCTTGGCCCAGAAGCTGCCACAGCTCAAGCGCAGCCTCTGTGTGATAAGCATGAGCCCAAGGGGTATTTGTCCCTGGCAGAGTAGGCCCTTGAAGGGCAGGAGTGGTAGCTTTGAACTCAGAGCACTGAGCCCCCAACAGATCAGTGTGGAGGGTAAGTGAGTACATCGTTGGTGCCCCAGCCTGATGTATACATCCCCATGGTGTTGAGCAGCATTGCTCACTGCTCTCGAACCACCTACTGCTTAAAATGCTTTTGCTTTCTGCCTGGGGAAGCGTGGAAGTGCTGTTCTTCCTGGCGTTCCAGCGACCCTTTGGGCCCATGGCCCATCAGTATAGGCTGTGGCTTCTGTCTGCCTACCGGAAGGTGCAGGGACACAGTTACATGTGGGCTTCCTCTACAGTTGCTGACCATGTCCAGGGGAGGTCTGGCTACTGGCTTCTTATGCTGCTGGTCCTGCACTGGTACACCAGAAGTATGGCAGAAAGGACCCCTGAGCTGGCACAGGGGCTGTCCCTGTGGCTTGGTCCCTGTGTTTTCTCATCTGGTCTCTGGTGTGAGGATAAACAGCTGACCCTGGCTGTAATTCCCTAGGCTCGTCACATGACTAGAGGCCTTGCTGGGTCTCCCCAGTGTTGGATTCTGTCTCTGCCTCTGCGTCATTACATCAGGCTGTCAACTAGGCCAGGACTGGCCCCAAGGTCCATTCTAGCCTGGAGGTGCTCCCGTGCAGCCAGGCAGGTGGGCATGAGGGCATTGAGGGGCCTCTGACATGGGCCAGTTTGTAAACATGTCTGGGCAGGCAATGTCTGGTCTGACCAGAAGGTTGCTTTTGAAATTTGTTACTGCTGTCTTCAGATCTGAAAATGTTAAACCCCAATGTGGATATCCCAGGAGGTCACTCTCCCCAGGCTCTGTCCTAGTGGTATAGGGGAGCATAGGGCTCTGCCCCATGATGTACAGTCCCTTTCCACAACTTTGGAGATGAAGCTGGGCTTCAAGTCTGTGCCTGCATATTCCTATGACTTCTCAGAGTCCTCTCGATGATGACTGGGGAGACAAACCATGCAGGAAATAGTCTTAGATTTAAAAAAAAAAAAAAAAAAAAGTTAAACAGTAGAGTGAAAATCATCTCAGCTTGTTGCCAACACTTGCAATTGTCTACTTATTTCAAGTCTGAGCTTTGTTTTGTCTTGTTTTGACACATCTTGTTATGTACTAATCTTTCTGCCTCGGCCTCCCAAGCTGGGATTACTGGGATTTCAGGCATGTGCCCCCATGCCAGTTGGTTGTTCTAGAAATGGAACCAGGGCGTCATGCATGCCAGGTAAGCACCATCCACTGAGCTCCACTCCCAGCCATGTGTTTCTACTTTAAAACAATATTTGTGTTTTTTGGAGACAGGGTCTCATGTAGCTGAGACTGGCCTCACCTTGCTAGACAGCTGAGACTGCCCTTTGAACTCCTGATCCTCTGGCCTCCACCTCCCAAATGCTGGGATTACAGGCATGTGCCACCATACCTGGCTTGTTTTTCCAGTTTTGAGTATAACTGTCTGAGTACTGTGACCGTGTGTATAAAAGAACCTGGAATGAGGCAATGCTTAAAACCAATCACACACGGAAGAAAATTGGAACAGGGTTTGGAACAAGTGGATTGGCCTGTGGCAGTGTTACCGGTAACTGAGAAGGACAGGAGGGAGGAGAGCTCTGCCCTCAGGTCTCCAGGGTGGGAGCAGCTGTGGGTGTAGATTGATGGCATCGTCACCACTGTTATCGGCCATGCTGACGGTTTGTGCCATCCTTGTGGCCGTGAGGCTGTGTACTGATTAGGCCACTGCAGATAATGCCGGTTTGTGGTATCAGGCCCAGATAGGTTTTGTTGTGGGTCTGTGGAGGTCTGGAAGCCATTGCTATATAAGCCATAGCTTCTGCCTGCCTATGGGATGGTATGGGGCACAGTCCTAAGCACTTAAATGTGGGCTTCCTTTTGCCCCGCTCAGATCCTGGCTGCCTAGGGATTCATCTGCGCCCACACAGCTCTGCTCTGGTAGGAGCCCTTGGCAGGCCTGGCCTTCCGTGCTGCAGAGCGTTGCCCAGGAGGCCTGAAGTTCTTGTGCCCAGCTGTGCCCTTTTTACCTGGAGTCCTGGTGCGTTGATCTTACTGGCTTCAGGGAATGGTTGTTGTGATGCTTGTACTTCGTACACCACCAAAAGATGACACCGTGAGTAATCCTGTCACCAAGGCCATCCAGGAGCTTAGTGTTTCTAGATCAATGTGCTGAATTTAGTGGGGTATGGGATCTTGCAATACCATAGGCTGGAGGCTTAAAAACAATGGGAGTTTATTTCTGATTGCCTTGGAGGCTGGAAGTCTAAGAGCAGGTGCTGTCAGGTTCTGTCTGCTAAGGGCCACTTGGTGCTTCCAACAGATGGCTTGTGGTTGTGTCCTCATTCTAGAAATGGGGTGAGGTCTCACCCCAACTCTTTCGTGAGGCCAGGGATCTTACTCAGGGCTCTGTTCTCATGACCTCGTCACATCCCAGTCCTGCCCACTTGGGAGTTAGGGAGATGCATCTGTCCCCCATAGCACAGAAATGGTCAGTCCTGGTGATCTTAATCACCATAGAACCTGACTGGCATGGCACATACGTAGTTAGCATGCCTTGCGATCGTCCCTCTCCTGCTGGTAGTGTCCTAACAGCCCCATAAGAATTGCACGTACAGCTCCAGCAGGCATAGTAAGTACACAGCAGGCACCAATGGCCTGCAGTGCCTCATGAGCTCTGAATCAGCCACAGCACATGGAGACTGTGATGACCCATGCCTGGACATCGAGCTCCTGGCTGTCGCTACTGGTGGGTATGTTGAGCACAGTGGGTGATGCGGTAGAAGAGCAACGCTGACATTAGGAAATAGACAGGATAAGAGCCCAAGGTGTTTGAGCCACGGGTGTGCTCTTCATCACTTGCAGGGAGGCTAGTCACGGAGAGCTTGCTGGAAGCCCGCTCTGGGGCTGAGCCACCATCTGGGCATCTGAGCAGTAGTTGCTGTTTTAGAAGGTGGAGCCCCGAGGTCCTCCACATGCCTCCATTGTTTCCATAGGTGATGGGAAAGGCAGGGCCTGGCTCTCAGCTTTCCTGGGTGGCGGCCTGGTCAGAGCCATGCTGAGAGAGATAGGTCACCCCCTGCCTCATAGCTGGAAGAAGGGGAATGGCAGGCAACACTGGCTGAATGTGAGGGCCTTACCCTCGGAAAGGCCTCCTCTGCCACGTCAGTCTGCTCGAAGCCTTTACCATCCAGTTTGCCTCTCTCCTCCTGTCTCCTCATGGCTTTGGTCCTGGAAACCGCCCAGAGGAGCAATGACAGCATGTCTGGGGTCATCTGCCTGGTACTTCAGCCTGGGGGCTGCTTGCCTGACCAATGGGAACACTGCAGTGGACCTGCCAGAGGCTTGGGGCCCCTATCCCCATCGGCACCCACCAGGTAGTCCAGGAGGTGGATGTAGGGCTGCTGGGCTGAACCTTCTGGATAGCCCAGGATGCCATGGTCCAGCTTCCCTGTGTCTTGGGTTCGGTCTCATCGTAGCAGGTGGAAAGACTTTGGACAGGATGTCTGTCACCAGCCAAGTGCTTGGTGACACCATCGCACTGTGAAGGAGCTATGAGGAGCTATGCCCACATCTAAGACGGAAGTTATCCTTACCTTACAGGCGGGATCAGGGACTGCCTTGCTCACCTAAGTAGAGTGGCGACCCTGGGCCAGATGTCTGTAGCAGCAGAACTTGGTGCCTCCCTCCCAGGCTGTGTCTCTGGACAGTCCTTCTGCTGGAAGCCTGAGGGCCCCACCTCTAAAACAGGCATGATAAAGCCAGGCAGCCGAATGTCCCTTGGCCCTCCCAGAGTGCAGTGTGCAGGGTTATTTCCCCACTCCACAACCTTGCTTTCTGTGTCCCAGGTACCCCAGGCCATGCGCTGTAGCCTTTTGACCCCCTGCTGGCTGGGTTTTTGCTTCTGTCTGGAGACAGACTGCTAAGCACTACTTCTGTTTTACTGCTGTTTATTGTGTTTAGATTTGTGTGTGTGACTCTGTAGCCTAGTCTTGTCTAGAACTTGCTATATTGCCCAGGTGACCTTGAAATCCTGTGTTCAAGAATGATTTCTTTATTTTTATCTTTTGGCCTCATGGATGCTAGGCAAGTGCACCTCCAGCTGCACCTCTAGCCTGACCCCCTGATCCTTCTGCCTCTGCTCCCTGTGGGCTAGGGTCACAGCTCTGTACCTCCATGCACAGCTACATTGAGGTTTTTGTCACTGATCACTTTGGGTTGAGGAGTCTTGCTGTAGGCATAGGTGTGAGTCCAGGTGTGTCAGGGTGCTGTTACTGTGTCAGATCCTGGTGTTCAAGGGAGCACAGGGCCCTTGTAAGTAGGAGGGAAAGAGGAAGGTTAATATTGAGAGCCCGGGAAGACAAGCCGGGTGAGAGAGCAGCCTGAAGGGGGCCTCCACTCCCGGCCTGGAGCAGGGACAGAGCAGAGCCATCAGAGGGGCTGGAGAGGGGGCCTTCAGCAAAGGGGTGTGGCTAGCTGATGGTGACCCTGCCTGTTCTGGAAGAGCACTTGGCGGTTCTCCCCTAGAGAGTGGAGTCTCTTGGCATGAGCCCTGTGTAGTGAGAGCTGCCAGCTGTGAGTTCCTGGGTACTTGGGCTCTTAGAGGAGTACGAGGACAGACCTGCCTTGGCCAGTGTAGCTGAGAAAGCTGAGTCCAGGGATGTAGTGTATCTGGCTGCAACCGTGACCTGCCCTCAGCATGCTGTGAGAGCCCATCCCAGGCACTCCTGAGCACTGTCTGGCTTTGAAGCACCCCTGAGGGCCATGGCTCAGGTTTCTGTGAATTGCAGAATTGCATCCTGGGGTGGCCTGCTGTACCTAGTGGGCAGGTGCAGGGGCTCTGAGTGCCGAGCAAAGCAGAGAGCAGGCGACTTTCTGGAATCTGAGGGAAGGAGGTGCACTGAGCGCTTGCTGGAGCTGAAGGAGATTAGATGAAAGGTTTATCTGGGTACGGTCATGTGTTGGTTATGAAATGTGAAACCAGCATTTTGCTGAGTCTGTTGCTGGCTCAGTCTTTCATCCAGAGAGTCAGTCCTGGGTTTTATCTCAAAATGTGGAGCTAATGCCCCCACAGAAGGCCCAACGCCAGGAAACCCAGCCTAGTTCCCGCCACCAGCACCCTGGGCCTTGCTCACGTGGTTTGCTGTGACGGCAGCAGTTGTTTCACTGGACATCGTTCACACTTCTGCCCACCCCTCTGGGATTGGCTCTGGAAAACGGCTGGACCCGTGTTCTTACGCACTACCATGTGTGCTTGCTGAGCTCTGGAGGGATCTCAGCTCTGGTGACTTGGCCTGCTTCTTACAGTTTCCCTAAACTTAGATTTTATTTTCTTTGGAGGAGGAGTGTAGGGGAGGGACCTCTGTGTTGCCCTGGCTGTCCTTGAATTTCTGGGGCTAAGTGATCTCTTGCCTCAGCCTCTGCAGTAGCTGGGACCACATGTGTGGCACTGCACCTGGCTTCACTACCATATGTTTTGGGGTTTTTTTCCCAGTGTTGGGGATTGAGCCCACGGCCTCATGCATACTAGGCCAGAGCTCTGCCTTTGCGCTGTCCCCAGCCCCTCTTTTGTCTCTCCATCCCCCAATCTAAATTGTTCAGTTAAATACTAAAGGAAACAGCAAAAGAACATGAGACGCAGGCACAAAAAGATGAGGTCATAACCCACAACCACATCACAGCAGAAAGTCCTTCAGGCGGTTGCATGGCCGCATGACCACCCTTCCGTGTGCCTTTGGAAATCTTGTGAGAGTTTTGTGTCCCTTTCTCACAACATAAATCGACACAATTTTGTGTATGTTTTAGTGGGTAGTTCTGTCCTAATGCCCACCTAGGGAGGCCCTCCCTTGCCCGGTCTGTGGGTGGGGTAAGCTGCTAGCAATCTCTGGGCCCTGCAGATGGGGGCGCAGGGTTGGGTTGTCAGAGCATGCTACAGGAGCACTATGAAGCAAGTGGTTGCTTGTGTGCGGGGC